GCTCTTTAAAGTTCTCGCACTGTCATAAAAGTTTCCCATAGAGCTTTCTGCATTAAGTTTTCAATTGACAAACCAATTCCATATAATTGCCCCTGCACTGCCTTTCGTATTTCAATAAAATATCAACATAAAAAAAAACGTGTCAAGTAAATAAATTTACAATTATTCAGTTTTAAAATACATTTCGCGCTGGCAGCTGAATGGAATTCAATCAAGGCGTGATTTCTGCTGAATGCAAATATATATAAATACGTACGTATGTGTATGTATGTTTATGTGTGACTCTGTCAATTTACAAGAGATAATGTTTTTATAAAAACTACATATATGGATATATATGGACATATTCATATATGTAGATATATCYTACTTGCATTTCCGTCATAAATTAAATATTAATTTATCGACTCGTCGCCATAAAAACAATAGCAATAAAAATAATAACAATAGCAAATGCATTGGCATAAATGTTTGCCCCACTTGCCACTTGCCACTTGCCACTTGGCACTTGGCCAGCAACAGCGAAAATAAATAATTATTTATTAATTGTGGCAAGCAGCTGAACAATTGCCCTCATCAGCTGGCCCCCGTTGGCCCCCGCTAGCCCCCATTGGCCGCCGCTCGCAATTAGGCTGCATTAACATAACCGACAAGCCGGAAACCTCAGGGTGCGCCCGATCCGAATTTGTGCTGCTCGACATGAGAGGCCGTGGGACCGGAACAGCAGCTACCTATCTCACCTGATGGCCCCACTCACTAGCACCCACTCACTCCCGCTTAATTAGTCAACATTGTGTGAACTGAAACAACGCTACGCTCTCATTGCAGGACCTGAGCGTCAATCAGCCGCAGGCAGCTGTGCGCGAGGACAGCGAATTCATCATATCCTGCACGGCCCAGGGCTCCTCTCGCATGCAGTTCCAGTGGTTCAAAGACGGCGCCGCCGTCAATGCCACCAAGGCAACGAGGTAAGTCCTAAGCATAAGTTCAACCCGAGCCGCAGCTGCACCTCAAATACTTTTGCAAATTTCCTTTTTGGGGCAGCGGTCAGAGGTCAGAGGTCAGCGGGCTCAGCTGTCTCTGTGCGAAATCGAAAACTATAAAGCAAATGCTACGCTTCGAATATGTCAATTGATTGCGCACGGCACTGCACGACTAGCAAATACCCTGCACTAGACAGTTGACCTCAAAGATAAGCTAAAGCTCTGCTCTTTGCCCATTCATTCATTCATTTTTACAGGGTATACGCAGTCGCATGCCTGCTCAGCCAGCAATATTATTAAAATCCTGTCTGATGGAATGAGCCAAAAAATATACATATATGTGATAGCATTTCCTTTTTTTTTTTCATTTCGGGCAGTTTTTCCAACACAAGTGTTCAATTTGACTTTATGACTTTTACACATCAATAAATTTGACATAAAATGCCCTGGCAAAATAAAAACGGAACGGCCAAAAGGGATAAATAAGTCAGGGCGCAGATAAAGATTTGTCAGAGACGACAACGAGCAGGGCGGATGTTTAGTCGAAGCACTGAGAGACAGAGAGAGAGAAAGAGAGAGAGAGAGAGAGAGAGAGAGAGAGAGAGAGGCGAAGCCAGCCAAACCGCAGTCAGCCAGGGCGAATGATTGATCATAAACCTTAGCGGCGCATCCAGGCAGAGCACATCATACGCGCACCCCGCCTCCCACTCCACACACAGCCCCCCTCTCCGGCAGCTGCTTGTGGTGTATTACATAAAAAGCATACGGCCGTAACTAACGAGGGGCTGTTGCTTGGACGACTGAGCGCAGTTGCCTCTGCAGGTTTCTAGGGGCTTAGCCTTAGCCGCAACTAAAGGACCACGCAGCCTTGACAATTTCTGCTCATGTAGGTGGTCGGGGCAGGGGGGAGGTTGTGGGGCCACTGCGCAAGTTTCCGGATACAACGAGGCTAGGTAGGCAGGGAGGGGCGTGTCAGGTGGATAGCCAAATGGATTGAAGCGTGGTGCGATTTGTTTCGCGTGTGCGACCAAAGGTCATGCCGGCAAAACAATTCATATTGAAATAAATAGCACTTTCAATGTATTTACATTTCGACATTTCAAACTTTTTCCCTGTTCATAAAGCGAAAATCAATATGTGTTTCGCAATGAAAAATAGGTTTATATAATAAGCTGTGGAATGGACTTAAAAATAGGGAGTAAGAAACTATGGAAATAAAATATAATAATAAT